CTCTCTCTCTCTCTCTCTCTCTCTCTCTCTCTCTCTCTCTCTCTCTCTTTCTTTTTTTTTCTTTCTTTCTTTCGTTCTTATGTCTCTTTCTCCTTCATTCTAGGCTAATCAACATAGATATTGTATTAAATGTTGGATAATTGAACATTTACGCTTGTGTTATCTTACATTTAGTAATCAATGTATGTCATCATTAATCACAGTTATGCTGAGAGATTCTCATCACATGGGATTGTACATATAAATGCTTGAACATTTATCTATATAGTATAAAGGCATGTAAAGTGTTTGCATGTATCCAGTATTGCGAAGGTTAAGATAGAAACTTTTGCGTCTCCTTTGTTTATTTTGCACACCGTACATGATATAAATGCGACTTAAACGATATTCATATAATATATTTCACCTTTTATTAAAACCGATTGTTTATTGACAAAAACAAGAAATAGAAAAAAATCATAATAGTGATCTTAACTGAAGGTTAACGTTTTTTTTTTGCAACTAATTCAAACAAAAATATGGCGAGTTCTCTCAACTAACTGCCTATTCATAAACACAATATATAAGGGAGAACCTTATATGCACATGTATAGGTCAATTTTATTCCAGGGCGTATCAACCTTGTGCTTAAACTTCATTTCACAACAACAAACAACTAAGCTATAAAGCAAACGAGTACACAGACCTAGTATGATTAATTTGTTTTCCACGCTTTTAATTGGAAAATTTCGAGTAATCGATCTGTAACGCGATAGGCGATAGCAAAATTTAAAGAAATTATCTGTTTTGCGCCTTCTTTTCGTATTGATTATTAGAGACGATTGGGACTTTTTTCTGTTCTTTTAGTCTTATAATCGGCAAGCCCTATGCCATATCGTTCAATGCAATTCTTTATTTATTTTCCTTATAAAATATCAAAAATGAAATCTTGTTGCCATGTAAAGACTTATCCCTCATGGCAAACCTTATACAATATCACATGAGAAGGTGCGTGCGAAATACACTTACGCGATCTAACCTTACGATGTTAGGTCATCAATTTTCGACCCACTTTCGTTGCAAAATAATCAGAAAAAAATTGACTTCATTGTCTTAAAAAGGTTTATTTTTTTGCAGGAAAAGTTTACATGTAAGGGACTTTAAAAAAAGAAAGTCATCTTATCCCGTTAAAATTTTATTAAAAATGGAAAACCTTGTCATATAGTTTTTTTTTTTTTTTAATATAGAGTGGTCGTACGGGATTGTTCGATCCCAATCATTTTCAATAGTGTTGAATATCAACATAAATCAATAGATTTGAAAAAGGTTGGTCCACACACATTCATATCTGACCATAAATATCATTAAATCGAGACCCTGCAATAAACAAACGAGAATATGTACGACATTGGGCACAACATTTTCCATCAATAATTTAGCGGAGTGTTCGCACGGCCTTTGTAATAATGCCAACGTGTCCGTCTGAGAATTTTCCTTTTAATACAA